CAACACCGCCCTGCTCCTGCATAGCTGATCCTCAATGGAGGATAGATATTGCTGGTAAGTGGTTACAGCCAGTCCTTGCAGCTGACTGGCCTGGGTAAATACCTCCATTTTACCTGCTAACAGCAATCAAAGCTCAGCAGCTACAGGATGAGGGTGTACTCAGCTTACACAGAAGGTGACCCTTGAGTGCCCAGCTGGGGTGATAAAGGAGGCTGTGCCATGGGACCCTACAGTACACCTACTACATTAGGCCATACTACCAAAACACAGAGTCAAAGCAGCTCTACCTAATACACAGAAACAAACACAGGGAGGCTGCCAAAACAAGAAGACAAAGAAACATGGCCCAAATGAAAGAACAGATCAAAACTCCAGAAAAAGAGCTAAACAAAATCTAGAGAACCAATCTATCAGATGCAGAGTTCAAAACAATTGTTATAAGGATGCTCACGGAACTTAGGACCTTAGCAGTATAAAATGACCCTGATAGGAATTGAAAATACATTAATTGAAATAAGGAACAGTTTATAGGGAAACAACAGTAGAATGGATGAAGCTAAGAATCAAATCAATGATTTGGAACATAAGGAAGCAAAAAACAATCAGGACAAGAAGAAAAAGAATCCCAAAAAAGGAGAATAGTATAAACAGTCTCTGGAACAACTTCAAGTATACCAACATTGGCATCACAGGGGTGCCAGAAGGAGAAGAGAGAGAAGAAACTATAAATCTCTTTGAAAAAATAATGACAGAAAACTTCCCTAATTTGGTGAAGAAAACAGACCTACAAGTCCAGGAAGCACATAGAGTCCCAAACAAGATGAACCCAAAGAGGCCCACATCAAGACACAATATAATTAAAATGTCAAAGGTTAGATATAGAGAATCTTAAAAGCAGCAAAAGAAAAGCAGTTAGTTACCTACAAGGAAGCTCTCATAAGACTGTCAGCTGGCCCTGGCTGGTGTGGCTCAGTAGACCGAGTGCTGGCCTGTGAACCAAAGGGTCATCTGTTTGATTCCCATTCATGGCACATGCCTGGGTTGGAGGTCAGGTCCCCAGTTAGGGGCATGCAAGAGGCAACCACACATGGATATTTCTCTCCCTAGCCTTCTCCCTCCTTTTCTCTCTGTCTAGAAATAAACAACAACAACAACAAAGAAGACTGTCAGCTGATTTCTCAAAAGGAAGTTGGCAGGCTAGATGGGATTGGTGAGAAATATTCACAGTGATGAAAACCGAGAGCCTGCCTCCAAGTTTACTCTAATCATTTAGAATCGAAGGACAGATAAAGAGTTTCCCAGATAAGAAAAAGCTAATGGAGTTCATTACCCATAATGAGTATTGTATGAAATGTTAAGGGTCTTCTGCAAGAAGATGATGATCAAAACTATGAACAATAAAATGTCAGTAAATACATACCTATCAACAATTGAATCTAAAAAGCAAAATAAATAGTCAGAAGAGAAACAGAATCACAGATACAGACAACATTTTGATAGTTGCCAGATAAGAGGTGGATTAGGAATGGGCAAAAATGGTGAAAGATTTAAGATGTACAAGCAGGTAGTTACAGAATAGCCATACAGATATAAAATACAGCATAAGGAATAGAGTAGCCAAAGAATATATATGCATGACCCATGGACATGGACAATGGTGTGCGGATTCTCTGAGAGAGTGGAGTGACTGGGTCTTGAGAAAAGAAGAGGGGCAAAAGGGGAAAATTGGAATAACTGTAACCAATAAAGTATAATTAAAAAAAGAGAATCATTTAGAGTGTGTACAGCTGAGGAGCAGGATAGGAAGGAGGCCGGTAGACTGGGTGAAATGCAAGGGGAACTTGTATTTCATATGTACTGTGTGCATTTTTTCAGAAGATATATTTTTATAAAAATTTTAAATGCATGTCACTGTTAACAAGAGGATAAATACCAAATGAAGATAATACATCCACCCTTGGCTTTGAACCAATTACCTCCATTTTTTTAGGAGACATTTTAATCATCTCTTCTGTGGCATTTGCAAATCTATTTAAGCCTTTTCTATTCTTAAAGAACAAGAAAGACCAAAGCCTATCCTTAAAGTTTCTATTCTATTTCCTCTGGGAGTATTTTTGTGTACCCTTTTATTTTGCCAGACCTTCAAATGCTAGTAGGTCAGAGTTTTATCCTCAAGCCATTACTCTCCTGGTCTATATACTTTTCTTGGGTATCTCCCCTCCTCTTCTAAACTCAACTACTATAGTGTGCTCTTCCTCCATGGAGTACACCCACATCTTTCTTCCCTCTCAGGCCTGCATATCCTAAACTCTAAGGGTTCCCATGTGACCTGAAACTAGAGGACCAATGTGCAGTGGCAGCTCGTCCTGGGCAACCCTCATGAACCTGTCTCCAAGGCACCCCTTTCTCTGACTTTTCAGTGAGCTAACAGCAGCCCCACATAGGCTCATTTCTCTCCTGTAACATTTCTAGAGAGCCAACACAGCCCTGCCTAAGCTCTCACCTGTTGCTTCTTCCATATCAAGCCCTTCCTTGTTTCACTGTCCCCAGCTTTCATAAATGTATTCTCAAAGTAAACAGAAAAAATTCAACTACTGTATAAATGCCAATAACCTCCAAATCTGTATCTACAGGGCTGGCCTCTGTCGAGTTTCAAACTTGCTGGACACTGACAACCAGAATGACCTAGAGACAGTTCAAATTCAACATACTCAAAACTGAACTTACCTGCATCCCCCCGTCTGCCTCCTCTTTTGGTATTCTCTAATTCATTTGGTGGCATCCAGCCATCAATCATTCAAACTGGAAACATGGAAGTCACCTATAGGTGCCCCTTTCTCCCTCTCCAAAAATCATTCAAGAAATTCCACCTATTTTTACATCCTAAATATTTCTCAAATTGCCCTTTTCACACCTACAATAATGCCACAGTTGAAGGCCTTTGCTTAGTTTCTGCAACACATTTTCCCCCATCTTACAAAATAAAATACATGAATCTTAATCAACTACATGATGCCCTTGCTTATTTATCCAGGTACATTTATTACTCCTAGCCTCAAATTTTGTTTTAGCAAAAAATAAGTGACCCATAGTTGCTGACGTACATATCATACCATTTGTTGTCTTTGAGATTTTGCTCATATTGTCTCCTCTGCCTGAAATGAATGCCTTTCTCTCCCTTCCTCTTCAAACTCACTTTTCATTAAACGGAGCTCAGGTACTAAGTTCTCTAGGAAGTTTTCCTGATCCTACCTTCCTTCCATTAAGGTTAGGTGTCCCTTGTCCCTCCTCTGTACTCTCATATTACTTTGTTCTTTTCTAGAAATTGTACTTCCCATACAGCGTTGTAAGTATTTGTATATATCTCTCTCCTCCACTGATCTCTGCAGCTCAGAGTCTAGCTCACAGTCTGGCAAACAGCAAGCCATCAATAGATGTTTATTTAATGGTTCAATACATAAGAAAGGAGGGAGGGAGGCAAGGAGGCAAAGAGGGAAAGGGAAAAATAGGAGGAGGGTTCGTGATGGGTTTTACTGATGAGAGTAAAAGGAATAAACTTACCAGCCCCAGGCTTCTAACACTTAGAAAAATTGCCAGCTCCAGCTCAATGCCACAAATCAGTCTCTGATATTTATAACAGACAGGAGGAAAGACCAAGAAAGAACACATATGGTATACAGACAGCTAGTGCCCTTTCCCCCACCAAAGATGTCTACATCCTAACCACCAGAACCTGTGAGTATGTTCACTAACAAGGGTAGAAAGGACTTTGCAGATGTAACTAAGAATCTTGAGACAGGAGATCATCCTAAACTGTGCAAATGGGACTAATATAACTACAAGAGTCCTTGAGAAAGAAAGAGGGAGGCAGGGGGATCAGAGTCAGAGAAGGAGATATGACTACGGAAGCAGAGCTCAGGGTGATAAAATTGCTGGCTGGGGGCCATAAACCAAGGAGTGTGGGCAACCCCCAAGCTGGAAAATGCAAGGGAGCAGATTCTCCCCTTGAGCCTCTTCAAATATCACAACTGATACCTTGATTTTAGCCTAGTGAAATCCAACTTGAACTTCTGATTTTCCAAACTGTTAATATAATCAATTTGTATTGTTTTCAGCCACTAAATTTGAGGTAGTTTGTTATGGCGGCAATAGAAAATACAAAGTATATATGATTTAAAATAAATAATATCTATAATTGCCTCAAAATATGAATTTGAATTGAGTTGCCACTCAGAATGTGCCAGAACTCACTGTTTTTGATAAGTGTATATACTGACGTGTAGAAGAACCACATATATATAATAAATGGAAAAAGGACTCCCTGGATATAAAATGACAATTTATGAGATAATTTGGAAATCTTTTAACATATGGATATGAATAATCAAAGCTCTAGTTTTTAAGAAACATTTTTATGGGAGGTATTAGGTAGGGATTCCATAAAATGTGATTTAAAAAGGGATTTTTAACAAATCCTCATCCAAGGACATGTTTACTGATTTTAGAGAGGGAGGGGGAGGAGGGATAGAGAGACAGAGAGAGAGAGAGAGAGAGAAACATCGAAACATCGATGTGAGACAGAGAAATATCAATTGGTAGTTTTCCATATGCGCCCCAACCAAGGATCACACAGGCAACCTAGGTATGTGTCCTGACTGAGGATGGAACTTGCGACCTTCTGGTGTACAGGATGACTCTCTAACCAACTGAGCTACTAGGCCAGGACCAAAAAAGGGTTTTTAATAAGCCATCCAAAAGATGTGATTTTTTTCATTTCTATGACATTTAAATATAAAAACAAATAAAAATAACAGCCTTGTTATACGATCTGACTTTTTAATATAGAGGCTCTGCCTACCTAATCTGTTTATTTGCATTATCTCTCTCCAACAACTACACACACACACAAACATGTTAAGATATTCTGGAAAATGTGAGATATCTGGAAAATGTAATAAAAACTAATTATAAATCTCACGGCCAGAATTCAAACAACTTACTTTCCTTTATCCTTCAACCATTCTGGGTTCTTTTCTTCTTCTTTTAAATCCCTAAGTTCAGGAATATCAGTATTCATTGCTCTTCGGGCCTCTGCTTGTTTGTGCAGCCACTGAAATGAGAATGAAGTCTAATAAATGACACAAAGGTCTTTTTGTTATTAACACTTACTTTTAGATTTCCCATCTTCCTACATAAGACAGAAATACTATTTTTTATGTAGTGAATGTTTGCATCCCCCAAAATTCATGTTAAAGTCATATTATCACATAACCAATGTGATGATATCCAGAGGTGGGGCCACTGGGAGTTAATGAGGTTCAGATGACGTAATGAGGGTAGGGCCCGTATGACAGAACCAGTGTCCTTATAAAAAAGGAAGAGACCAGTGTGCTTGTTCTTCCCTCCACCCACCCCTACCCCAGCACCCTGATCTTGGACTTCCCAGACTACAGAACTATGAAATATTCAATAAATGTCTGTTGTTTAAGCCATCAGGTCTATGGTATTTTGTTATAGTAGCCCAAGCAGACTAAAATAGTACTTAAAGAAGGTGATTTTAAACTTCCAGTTTTTACATGTTTAAAAATTTTTTTTATTTTAATAACTGTTTAAGAGTAAAAACTTCTAGTGCAAATCTCATTCAAATTTGGGAGTTCATATGAGTATTATTTTACTTTTCTAGTTTATCTTTTATTTTTCTATATTAAAATTTATCATTATAATATTTTGTAATAATATAGAATAATGAAATATAAAAGTAATATATTGTTTAATAAAAAGAAAAATGTTAATATTTATAAACTGTCATTATGTCTTAAGTATCTTCAATTATATCCATAACTTTTCAATTGAAAAAGGTATCAGTTCACACCTTACAGTAAAGAAATGCAATTGTTAGTGCTTATATAAGATACAATATTTAAAATACTAAAGCTCAGGAATTTATAAATGAATGGAAGATATTAATTCCAAAGCATCAAACATGAGAATATCTGATATTAATAACTCATTGTAATAATATGTTAATAATAAATTTCCAAATCTGTCCTAACCACAACACATACTGATCCAAACTTTACAAATCTATTATAGAAAATGATTCATTTCACAAAATAAATAACACATGCCACAGTTCATCTCTTGGAAAAGGCAAGACTACTGCACAGTAAATCAGTATTCTGTCATCAGTATTCTGGAGCCAAATAAAACAATCCTGCAAAATATATTTTTCTCATAAGGAAAAAATAAAAAATAAAGTATTTTCATTATGGTCATTGTAACTAACAGCAAGTACACCTACCTCCTCTTCTTCTGCTACTTGTGATTCCCGGAGAGCGGTTGGGAATGCTCGAGGGGTAAAGTTGATTTTAATACTGCCCACAGAGCGAGGAGCAGGAATACTGTCTTCCTTTAACTTCTCAGAAAATATATTTTCTGAGTTTCTCCCTTCAAAAACAATATTAATAAGTTATTTATTTCTCATTTTGTACTTAGAGTGACTTTTAAATAAGTTATACACCAAAGCTACTTCTACAATTCTATACCAATAAACCAAGATACTTTTCTACAAGAAGGAATACAAAATCCATCATTGAAAGTATGGCAGGCCCTGGCCAGGGAGCTCAGTGGGTTAAAGCATAGTCCAAATACACCAAGGTTGTGGGTTCCGACTCTGATAACGGCACATACAAGGATCAACCAATGAATGCATAAATAAGGGGAATGATAAATTGATGTTTCTCTCTCTAAAGTCAATATAAACATTTTTAAAAATGTAAGTGAATCTCAATATGAAGATAAACATAAAATTATTAACAAAATATTGGTAAAGTGAATTAAGCTGTGTAAAAATCAGCATCATCAAGATCTTGAAGATACTTCTTACTCATAAAAGTGTGTTTTGGATCCAATAGTATTTGAAAATAAAATTTGTTTAGCAGTATTTGAAATATGGAAGGAAATGTTTTCATATACTCTAACTGATAGCAATATTTTGTTGAATAGCATTATTCAAGAATGAGGTACTGTGGTAATTAACTTGTGTGTCAATATTAAACCACAATAATATATACATTTAATAGTGGTCACTGCTTAATAGTCACTCTAAATGATTTTTCCATATGCTAGACCTAATTGTTAAAGTAGTAATGACATATAGCCAAGTGGAAAGAGCATAGATTTCAGATGCAGACAGATTTGGGTTCAAACACCACAGGCTTACTTATTGGGAATTTGTTTATCCTTTATGAACATCTATTGCCTCTAAAATAAGAATAACAGCATTTATCACAAAGTGCTACTGTGAAAACTGAGTGAAACAACCGGTAAAGTCACCCGACATAAAGTGATCACCAATAAATGTTAACTATTACTATTATAAAACTGATTTTACTACAAAATGTTTCATTTGCTACATTTACAGAAAACAAAGCTTCACATTCTAAGATGAGATAAAATCAAACTCTTAGCTTTCAATAAATATGTTCTTTTTGCCCTGGCTGGTGTGGACCTCAGTGGACTGAGCCTGCAAACTGAAAGGTTGCTTGTTCGATTCTCAGGGCACGTGCCTGGGCTCGCCAGGTCCTCCGTCGGGGGTGTTCGGGAGACAACAGATCAATGTCTCTCTTGCACACTGGTGTTTCTCTCCCTGTCTTTCTCCTTCTCCCCCTCTAAAAATAAAGAACTAAAATCTTTAAAAAAAAAGAAGCATGTTGTTTTAACTATTTTTAACATACCAGGATCAAAGGCCAGAAGAACTCTTGTTTGCTTAATAGTACTCACTTTACCGAGTCAGGTGAAGAAAATGTCCTCTAATAAAATTCCTAGTTTCTCATCTCTAAAGAAATGAAAGAATGTCCCTCACACTTATAGTCCATCTCAAGTCTTTTTAGACATTAGTTAAAACACATATTTAACAACACCTGCATAAATTTCAAAAGGAAGCACACAAGCAAAAACAACACTGAATCTTTGCTCATTTTATCATTAAACTTCGCTACTTCCTAGTCTTTTACTTTAGTCTTTGTGTTGCAATGTTTATTCTCAATAACAAGGACCGAAAGCCATAACAAGGACCAAACATCAGAAATATGTAAAAACAACAACCACAAAAGCAACCTGTATACTTTATCAGCAGGACTCACTTTCCCAGAAAACATTAATCATTGTACCTTTTGTGGGAGTATTTCTGGCTGTTGAATTTCCAGTGAGACTTTTATGTTTTAATTTTTTCCTCTGTTCTTCAATTTGCTTTTCTTGTTGATGTAACTTCTCTTCTCTCTGAATTCTTTTATGTTCTTCAGCTTTTCTTTGATGTGTTTTCCATGCTTCCAATTCTTTAGTTGCTTTTATCCGTTCATTTTCTTTCATACGTTCTATTTTTTTCCTCTCCTCTTCTTCAATCTGTGAACAGTTACAATTACTAAAACTTTTAAAACATATAAAAAGCAACATTTTAAAAATAATAAATTACAATAAATTATTCTTACCTCACAAGTCTTGTAATTGTATCTGCAGCAGTAATTAGCAATGAACAAAGAATTAAAATGGGAATGGTAAATAATTTAGCAAAATGCCCAATGATTTGGTTGTCATGAAACACAGGTTTTAGTTCAGATTTACCATTAACTATTGATATAATCTTAGGCAATTACTTTCTCTAGGCTTAGTTTACTCAGAAGTAATATGTGGGTAGGCATTCAATTAGATAATATCAAATTAGATGGTAAAAAAAAAAATCAATTTTTCACCCTGGCTGGTGTAGCTCAGCGGATTGAGCACGGGCCTGCGAACCATGCGATCGCGGTTCGATTCCCAGTCAGGGCACATGCCTGGGTTGCAGGCCAGTTCCCAGTGGGGGACACATGAGAGGCAACCACACACTGATGTTTCTCTCTCTCTCTTTCTCCTTTCCTTCCCCTCTCTCTGAAAATAAATAAATAAAATATTTTTAAAAAATCTATTTTTCTATTATAAAAGTCAAGTCGCTTTTCCCCAAACCTAAACATACACACACGAACATTTGCCTTTTTACTTTTACCAGTCTTACCTTGTGTTAGGATTGCAGTTGTGCCAACCTTTGCCTGAGGAATGAGGGAATATTTAGAATAAAAATAGAAAGGATGAACTAAGGAGTTTGTCTCTGGTGGGTGAATGTGTTTGAACTTTGAATTCCATTGCCAGCTAGCTAGCTTGCCATAGTTGTTATTTGGAACTTCCATGTGAAAAGCTAAATGTCAAATAAGTTAAAAGCAGTATATTGCACAAGAATGTGTTAACTTTCTCCCTTTCATACACTTCCCTCATATGGTCAAGAAAGATAAAACTCTGTGAAATAAAATAACTGGTTGGTATATATGACTGACTCCATGTATCTGAGTTTCCTATGGTAACACAAATATTCTCACCTCTCTCCTCTAGAAAACAAAAATTCTCACACCTATAGAGAAGCAGTGTCTAATAGACCCTTTTTTTATGATGCTAATGTTCTGTGCTATCCAATCCAGTAGCTACTACCACATGTGGATAATTAAGCACCTAAAATGTGGCTCTTTCTTAACCACAGGGCTATATCGAGGTTTTTTCAGAAGTCTAATATCTGTTCAATTATTTCAGATTTTTAAGAAATGTAAAGCCCTGGCTGGTGTAGCTCAGTGGATTGAGCACAGGCCTGCAAACCAGAGGATCACGGTTCAATTCCCAGTCAGGGCACATGCCTGGGTTGCAGGCTAATTCCCAGCAAGCCAGTTCCCAGCAGGGGATGCACTAGAGGCAACCATACATTGATGTTTCTCTCCCTCTCTCCTTCTCCTCTAAAGATAAATAAATAAATAAATATTAAAAAAAAAAGAAATGTAGCTAGAGTGACTGAGATGCTGATTTTTAATTTTGGTTCATTAATTTAAATGTAAATTAATATACATTTAAATAATATATCTGGCACAGTAATAGAATGACATGCCAGGACCAAGTTTCCTAGAGGCTGAATTATTTTAGGATACAGAATTAACATTATCCATATGAAAACTATACCGAAGAAGTACCCTGTAACATCTGCATGATTTAATAGCCTCTTCTGGAAGACTGGTTATCTTTCTATCGAACTGTGTAATACTGACTTTAAAATAAATTTCACAGATTACTGAACAGGAGTTTCCTGTAGTCCCAGAACTGTACCTAAGGCCTAAAGTAAGCCTGAAAGACGCTAATTACTGTGAGTCCTAAGTTCAGACAGCTGCCAGGAGGCTAGGACAGGAGGACTCTACATGTGGCAATGAGCCAGCTTTTAATGCCTGACAACAGGGAATGACGAACAGTCAGTGCTAGCCAGAGGCGGCCACAGCCTAAAAAGAGAAGACAACTTCACCCAGTTTAATAATATGTTTGCCATTTTTTCTTTCCTCCCTCTTTTCCCCAACACATGAAAGAAGGGAAAAGTATGTCAAAAGTCAGAACACCCTTACCCCTCATTAGCCCTGCAAGTGGAATACATTTTGAAAAGTTTTTAAAACTGTTAAGACCGTCTTAATTACCAAAAATGGCACTACTCTTATAATCAAAAGTAATAGGGAAGTTCTATTATCATAACCAAGATTTAGTTAAGGGAAATATATGTATATTATGTATATTATATATATAATTATATGTGTAATTTAATTTGTAATAAGCTATCTTTGAGACAAAAAAATAGTCTAACTCTTTAGGGAGTAATGTGGAAAAGAAGGGACCAAGAAAGGCCTCACAGAACATGTGACAGAAGGAGCTAGGAAGAAGAGAAAACTTTGAAGAAGGTTAATACCACAAAGTTTATGATAAAAGGAGAAGAGAAACTATATACATCAAAGAGAAACAAAGATAGACAAATATTAAACAATTCTTGAAGTTCTTTTATTTTTTAATTAAAGATTTTATTTATTTATTTTAGAGGAAAAGAGAGGGAAAGAAACATCAATGTGTGGTTGCCTCTCAAGCGCCCCCTACTGGGGACCAAGCCCACAACCCAGGTGTGTGCCCTGACTGGGAATCATACCAGCAACCCTTTGGTTTGCAGGCCAACAACACTCAACACACTGACCACAGTAGCCAGGGCTGAAGTTCTCTTTAAAACAAAAAGTAATATGGGGCACTTACCGCATAAAGAAGGAATACTTAGTAACAGAAAAATTCAGAAGGCTAGAAAAGCAATCATCACACATGAAGAAACTGAATTTTAAGTGCTTTGTACTGCTCAAAAAAGGATGCTATGAAGTATGGGATATTGCTTTACTGCAGACAGCAAATTTAACTAATAGGAGAGTAATGAGCAGCTCCTAAACCCAATTCCTGAAGAAGGGGAAGTCTATATTCCTTTGAATTTGGAATGAATGGTTTATCAAGGCATTGTTCTTTCTAAAATAATTTTACTTATGAATTACATGCAGAAATCATAATAAAATATTAGCACAATGAAATGAAGAAAATATTCAAATTATAATACATCTTGGTCAAATAGGGTGTTTCTTACTCATGGTATTAGGAAATTAAAAGAGAAAAACAACATGACCTCAACACATGACAAAACATCATTTGATACTAGGAATAACAAAAAATTTTAGCTTGATAGAAGGACCCATACATGTCCAATTTCATGGCAAAGCATTAGAAATACTTCTAGCAAAATCACTAAGGCCAATATGCCTACTATTTTACTATTTTCCTAGAGGTAACCTATATAATTGAATGTTTAAAATATGAAATATAAATAAGGTTTACAAGGAGACAGAGCTGTCGTTATTCGTAAACAATATTACAGACTACCTAAAAGAACCAAAATAACAAACTGACAAACTATTACAACCCAAAAGTAACTTCAACAAGGCACTCATTTATAAGATCAACTTAATACAAAATCATAAAAACAAACTAACTTGCGTACAAACTAGAAATAAATGATTTGAAAAATACAGTGGAAAAAAGTATTCGTTAGTAAATGCCAGAAAAAACTTTAAAAGGCTAAGAATAAACTTAACAAAATATGAGCAAGTCCTACATATGTCAGATAATTTTGCTGGAGATATATAAAGTAAGTCTGAAGAAATGGAGATAAATGCCATGGTGTTGGAGGGAGATTAAAATATTATAAATATGTTGATGTTCTATAAATGAATTTCTAAAGTCAATGTAAATATAATCAAAATACCAAGAGAACTTCTTAGAGAGCTTGATAAACAGATGTGAAATTCATCCACAAAAGAAAATATGCAAGTTTTATGGAGAGATTTGTTTCTTCTTTTTATGAAGAAGTTGGCAATTCCCATCCACAGATACCAAGTATGAAACTGGACAAATCTATCAAAAACAACAATTTCAAGGCACCGAAAATTAACCAAAGACAGCCTGCAAATTGAGAAGTGTTTGTTTTAGAAAAACTGCCAAAGTTACAGGTAAGAACAGTGGTAGGCTGTGCTCTCCAGCCTGACGTTGCTCTCAACCACCCACCTCCAGCAAGAATAACAAGACTGGCAATTTTAACAACAGCAGCTCACAACGACAACAACAAAAACCCTGAAGCTTTGCTGGCAGAAAGGGAGGACTCATTTCAGGGTGGGGCAGGAAAATCCTGTGGGTTTGAGGGATAAAAGTGGGCGAATGGGTTGGGAATAAAGGGAAAATTTGCAGTTGAGGTCTGCGGTTGAGGTCCTGGTTAGGGTAAGTGACTGAGACTAGTCAGAAAATTAACATAAAGATCATATAAATGAGAGCAATAGAAAGTCTGTGGTAAGCTCACCATACAATCGTGGCTAAACAGAAAGCTATGTCTTTGTGGGGGAGACCCAGGAAGGCTGGCCTAAAATGAAGCCAAGGGAGACAGGAGAACTGGCTCCAACTTTGAAGGTATTCTCAAACCAACACACACACGATCGACAAGCAAATGATGGGAGGCCTCTACTACCTCTGCCCAAAGCATACTAACCGTTAAGCTGTACAGGCAAAGGAAAGACCCCTAAGGAAGCCAGTCTAAGAAAATACAAATTAAGAAATTTAGCAGAGGCAGAGGTCAAAATTGTCCGCACAATTCCAAATCATGCCTGAGCCAATCAGAGTTCTTGTGACTGGAGCAGCTGGTCAAATTGCATATTCACTGTTGTACAGTATTGGAAATGGATCTGTCTTTGGTAAAGACCAGCCTATCATTCTTGTGCTGTTGGATATCACTCCCATGATGGGTGTCCTGGATGGTGTCCTAATGGAACTGCAAGACTGCGCCCTTCCCCTCCTAAAAGATGTCATCGCAACAGATAAAGAAGAAGTTGCCTTCAAAGACCTGGATGTAGCTGTTCTTGTGGGCTCCATGCCAAGAAGAGATGGCATGGAGAGGAAGAATTTACTCAAAGTAAATGTGAATATCTTCAAAACCCAGGGTG